AGTTTCCTCAGTGAAATTTATGAAAAGGAGAGAAGATAATCAGCATTTCACAAATAAAAAAATTTTTTTTTTAGTCTGCATCACATGGAGCACATGGTTCATTACATACAAATATAACTGAATTTTATACCTTTTTTTTTCCCCATCCCAATAGTCATGATGCACCATCATCTCACTGGAATGTTTGTAGGCAGGAGAGATGTCGTATACATGTTTTCCTTTCTAGTGATTCCTACGTTTATCACCCGTGAAACTGCATTGACACAATGTAATATATGAAAACCTTCTAAGCCCATCAAGATCACCAAGCTGAGTTTTGATATCAACTTAGAAAATAGTGAGAACTTCACTCTCCGATCTTGATTTCAGTTATCATGTTTGGGCTGATAGTCCAAGTGAGGTCAAAAGTCAACAATTCAAGGTCATGGGTTATTTTACTGAATCAGTAGTTTACTTCCTACTGTAGCATCTGGGAGCCATTTCAGAAGAAATACTTTGTTGCCTCTGACAAAATCATTTGACTTAAAGACATGAAACTTGGGGAAATCCTGTATCTCCATGGCACCAACATCCTTGCCAAAAAACATCACAATTGGAAGAAGTCAGGTCAGAAACCTTCCTGAAGTGATTGATTTGACCTGGACTGATCCAAATCTGTGTTTATTCGGAGTGATTTATGATCAAGATTAGCACAGTTTTATCAATATATTAAATATTTGTAACAATGTTAGCAAGATTCTTGTTTGACTATCATAATAACTGAGCATAACTTTGGCCTGGTGTTTAACTCTAATGCTAGAAATGTTATATCCCTGCTCTGGGAGATACTTCAGGTTCTTATAACATCTTTTTTTCTATCATTACCTGTCATTTTGGCATCTTTGAAAAGACTTGTTAGAAATATTTTAACCCTTAAATTACAGGTTTGTTGTTATACCATTCAATACTGGTGAGGTCCACATATATTGAATAATTTTTATGTTTTTGCCTGTTACAAGACACTTTATAGAATTGACCAAATAATTGGGTAAAATTGCTAATTTTCTATGTAAAATATATATTGGACTCCAGCATTAATAAGTAACTTTAATCACAATAGTAATGGTATTTTTTTTGTATGACTCATGTTATTAAGGACCCTCTGACCAACATGAGCCAACAAGTTTGGCACACAAATAGTTAGTCTATTTAAAAAAAATGCTTCCATAGATTCAATCAATAATCTTGAGGTTTAACCAGATTTATAAATATTAAGAAATGTTTTTAGTAATGTAGACAATTTTAGTGAGTTAATAACTAATGAAAGTGCAAAATATTTCTTTACATCAAAAAATGTAGAATAGCTGATTTGAAGTGGTTAATATTTGATTAAATATTTAATGTACAACTAAGAAGCTCAAGATCTTATCACAGTGTAATTTGATACTGCAGACTAGAAAATTACAGTATCTACTGTGTATAAAAATGAAAACTTTTCAGAGTAGTGAAAATACCATACATTATGTGTCACCAGGTCACTGAACAAGATGAAAGACAGCAGTCACAGTGGAGACAGTCAGCATTATATGAAACACTAGATGAAATCTTGAGCCATCCTTCTGAACAGTTTTCCCTTAAAGATTTTGGCACTGAAGAAGAATCGGGAGACAAATACCCTCGATATGATGAAAGAGACTACAAGTGTACGTTACTTTTTGTATATTCAGCATTTTCTAGTACTTAAGCTAAAGAAGGATATATCAAAGACAGTGGATTTTTTTGTCAACTGTTTTCATATCTTGAAATGATTTATGAGTTTTCACATTTTATAAGGCGTGTTTTTAAGACTAAAAACTTGCAGATTTTTGGTGAGTTTAAATACTTATTGTTGACTGCCATATAAGAAACTGGGAAAATTATGACCTTGAAAGCTAAAGAAAATAGGAACACATCTTAACTTAAAACAATGACAAAAAAAAATTAACATTAAAAGTATGTGTAAAATTAACTGGAATTAGGTGTCTTGAGGATCTGAATAGTGATGGATTGAACTTAAAACACCTGCACTATCTTGGTCTGGACAACTTGTACTGTGACAAAGGATCCACACGCTCAGTGTATAAGGAGAGGAGCCTTGGTTGTCAACTAGTGCTATTATTCCTCTAGTGTGCACCTTTATCTTTTGACTCTAGTATAATCTAGAAGTATTGGTAGAAGATTCAGACATTGAACTTGCATCAGTTGATTTGCTAAATTAATATGATAAAGATAATCAAGAACTCAAACAGTGGATGGTAATGTTATTATTTATGTCAGTTTTTTTTAGCCTAAACCCTTCTTCAAGATGAAACATTGCTAAACCACTTTTAGCTGTGATGGAAGAAAATCTTAGGCCAGAAATACTTTGTTAAACAACCATTACCGCTATAGGTTTCTTTCTTCTTCATTTTCTCAATTATCATTATCATTTGAATACACACACACTTTTATTTTTGTGTTGCTTCATTCCTAGTCAGTACTGTAACCAGTCAGTTGGAAACATTTCAGGATGTTAACGAAATAAGATAGAAAAGTAAAAGTAGAAAATAACTTTCAATAACATTACATAACTTAGCTAGATTTAGGTATAAAACATGTTTATAATTGGCAATAATATATTAATTAAAGTGTTACAAGTAGTTTTTTTTTCTCTGAACTGGTTTATCTAATACAGCTGGAGATAGCTTTAAAGGGGATTACTTTTATTATTTTTTTAGAATAAAAATCAAATTGTGTTCGTGTCCTATGGCTGAATTATGTCTTACTCATTGACCTAATTTTTCTCTAAAAGTTGACTTTTGTATATAAAAGTATAAAAGTTTCTAATGCCTTAGGTGTTATTAAGCTAATTAAAATTTTTCTCTTTCAATCACTTTTGTATAATTATGAGTGTTTAGAAGAATTACTGTTGTCAGTAAATAGTGATATAGCTACATTAGAGTAGGAACTATCTGCCAATATTACTTGTGTAGAACACTGGAAATCACTTGTTTTTCACTAGAATCTGTAGTGTTTTGATGAATCACTACTAAATAGTAACTGTTTGTGCTTATTACTGATTGCTGTAATTTTGACATGGCCATGTATTGTCATTATATTTGGTTTGTTTAACGAGCTATAGTTCAAGGTAAGGGACATGTACAGAGAATAGTAAAGGGTGGTTGGAGGTATATGAATCACTACTAACTAGTACCTATGTATGTAGGTATGTGTGTGTTTATTTGTTACTGATTGCTGTAACTTTGATACAGAGTCTCGTAAAGCATGCATTGTCATTATTTTTCACATGTATAACAAGCTATAATTCGAGGTAGTGGATCGTGTACAGATCAGTAAAAAGTGGTATATTTATATATATATAAATAATACAGTATCTGAGTTGATTAAAGAAAGATAGGATTTGTATATATAAGTATAGAAGAAAGAACAATATCATAGATTTAATTGTTGAATTGTTGACCAACCAGACAACAGTGAAAAATAAAGTTTTTAAAAGGTTTATATCAAAGAAGAATAAAATAGCATTTAATTTATTCATTAGTTATTCGGCCTTCAGATTTTACTCACTTTCATTGTTACAGAATCTTTTATTCATACTAAATGCAACCATTATTAAACATAAGATAGTTGTGATACAAGGCTTTTTGATAAAGCTTTTAGTGTAAGCTTTCAAACCCAGAGATTGTATGTCATTTATTCAGTGATAAAAGTTGTTGATGTATTATATTGCACTACTTTAATATGAATCAGAAGCTACATTGTAAAATCATAAAATTCAAGCTATTATATAAATAGAATTATATTTTATGCACATAAATTACAGTTCTAGGTTATTTCACTCCCGGTAATTTGACTCCCCCATTTAAAACAAATTATGAACATTAAAAGTGACATGTTAAAAAAAAATTTAACATTAAATATGACATTTATTAAAGATTATTGAAAGTGATGCAGGTTGTGAGCTATTACTCGTAAATAGTCAATCTTGTTATCTGGATTATATCTAGCAAGAAAAGCTTTCAGCCATTTGTTCAGACCTTTATAATTCTTTTTATAGTTATCGTCACCCCGTTCAAACTGAACTTTCTTCAATTGTGCCAAGCATTCTTTTTTTTTTTAGAGTTGAAATTAGTTTGAAATTTTTAAATTAAAATATTTTCTTAAACTTAAATCTAAATTTATATTAAATTCATTACTATTACTACAATTATTATTTATTGTGTTGGGAGTGGATTATTCTACATCTGGCAGCTTCAGCTGGGTTTCAAATTACTGGGAGTGAAATTACCGGTCACCATAAATTACATGTTTATAAAGCAGAGTTGATCTTCAATGATAGTAACAGTTTGAGTCATTATTGTTTAGTCTAGATAGTGTCTTTCAGGAATGCAATTAAATAGAAATAAAAAATTTTATGTTTAACTTTGTCATGGCAAACTTTTGTCGTGTTTGTATTTTAGAAAATCATGCCTCACACTGTAGCCATAACAACAAAGTGCTTTGGTTATATATTGGAAACAAATGTCTTTTCTTTCATTTTCATTTGTATCCATAACATACATGTGAATGCAGTCATTTAAAAATAAATATTAAATGTGTTTTATCACTGTCTCTGTTTAAGTAGTTTAAATAACAAAAGTAAGTGAATGGTGACAAAAAGATACTGCTACGGCTTTTATTTCCATAAATAATCTACTATGGTTAACAAATATTCTCATTATTAATTTGATATAATTCATTGTGTTCTCTAACTCACAATTGACTAATAAATATTAAAACATTAGTACATATTATGAATGATATAGTATACATGGTCCACTGACTTTGAATTTCCTTGTAAAGCTACATATTCCTGCTAGAGTTAGTATCCTAAGAGTGCCTTCTCATCAAACAATATAAATGAAGAAATATAATGGATGGTTTTTGTAATTAACTAAATTGTACATTGTTCATTTCTAACATTTCTTGCATGTGTGTAATGTGTATTCATTTATCTTAAATTTTATTTTACTGTGATTTTTGTGCTTATGTTTAAACTTGTTACATTTTGAATATTTTTTCTGTATCCCTGCAACTCTCTCTCTCTAAAATTAGTATTGTTATAAGGAATTTTGTTGTATTGTTTCACAACAATGTATGTATTCCATGTATCACTAAGGGAGTTTTGTGAGCTTTGGTCATTGTTTTCCTGCCGTTGAATTGAAAATTCTTATTTTAGAGTGTTTTTGATTGTAAGTGAAGCATTTGATAGAAACTTAATATTGGTATTTTAGAATACTCTTCTGAGGTTTTAATAAATTCTATTTTTGAGCATTTGGGAAATGTCTAAAAAATTGCAATTTTTTTTTAGTTCACAGACAAGAAAGTTTTCCTCAACCTCATCAGTCTTGGCACAGACCACATCATCGTAGACGGCGTAAGACATCTCATTCTACTGACCAGGATGATCCCGATATTGAAGAACCTTTACTTAGTGGCACTGAACTATCTGCTGCTCCTGATAGCTCTGAAGGAGCAGTGAAAAAAGATGTATTGGATCCATTGCATGGTCCTGCAACTGTAGATGGTACATGTAATGTAACTGGTCAGCAAAAAGATCATCAAGATTCAACAAAAGTAAGTGTTAAAAAGCATTGGGGTTTTCAGTACTGAAAAAAATGCCATTAAGTTGCTGTGTAAAGTTGGAATGAGATTTTCTTTTGATGTATTTCAGTATCAATCTACTGGAATAGGTAGAAAAACAACAGGATATTTTTTACTTTGCTGTGCTTGTTTGTGAATAATCCAGCAGCCATGAAGTCTATAATAAAATGTAGGTTATTTGAGTAGAGGAAAGTAACACGTTTTATTGATATCAATATCTTTGTGTACTGAACATTTCAAATTCTAATCAAGAAATTCATGGGTGCTAACTAAGTTTAAAACATCATTAAACACTAACCATAAACTTACATTTAACTTATCAGATCTAAAAAACATACATTTTAAAGTTTTTTGTTATATTTTCAACACTTGTTAAAAAGCTTAGTATGTATATAGTTACTTTATACTTCATTATAATGCCTACTTTTTCTCTAAAACAAAAAAAATGTAAATAAGATTCAATAATTTTGTTTCCTTAAGTTTTGTAACACATTCAGCATTAACATCAATAAAGGGCTATGAAGTGAAGGAGTTAATGAAAACTTTTGTCTTTAACAACAATTTTTATACCTGTTCCAGATTATAATTATTGTTGCCAACTTCAGTTGCAAAACGATATATTGTATCCTGTGTTTGTCTGTTAGATTTTTAGTTTATGACAGGTATCACACACACTATTGTAGGGAATTTGATCAGCTTTTTTTCAAATGATTAAGTATTATCCAAACAGAAATGAAACATGTATAATCAATTATGGGAAAATTTGGCCATTTTTCTGGCCTCAACCTATCACATGGTTATTATTTTGATGATCAGTTACTTATTGATTATAAAAACAAACAAACAATCTGTTTAACCTGAAAGTGTTTCAAGCAGTATAAACAAAATTACACACACTGGGGAACTCCCCACTGGAAATCTTAGTCTTCTTTTACTAGTATTAATTCTTTCAACCCGGGCTCGGTCCTTGGGACAGACTTCGTAACCATTTTGTGTTTGTTATAGTTTTCATGCTACAACTTTTAAATTAGTAAGCAAATGTTAACGAAATTTGGCAGTTTATCAGTAAACATTATAAGGTTTGTAAAGCAATGTTTCTCTCATGC